AATGCATCTATCTATGTATAATACCTTGGCTCTCAACAATAGTAGCAACTCTTAAACTTTTCCAGTATGGTTTTAGCTCAAGGTCATCTTTTATCATGTCAGTAATAAGATTTTTTTGTGCCCCATAAGGAGTGAGGACAGCTATGCTCTCATGCTTAACATTATGATTCATCACCAACTTCTTAATACATTTTAACTAAAAGAAACGAAACATTATGGCACATTTATCCTGCAAAAATAATACAATGCAATTTCAACTGATATTGTACATGACAAATTTTAATCTAGCAAGATTTTGGTCAATTTTGTTATGGTACACATAGTGATAAAATATTGCTATTTCAGAGTTATGACAAAAATAATTATTTTGATGAGGAAAAATTAAACTTTGGATGCTAAAGTAAAAGTAGTTTGCTGCAGCACAAAGCATACTTAAATGTATATGCATGCATCACATACACTCTGCTAATACAGAATAAAAATGCCTTACCACTGCTTTAGCTTCCTGCTCATTGCATTTAGAATGAGAATCTATTTCTTTTGAATGCTTGCTATCAGTAAATTTTTCTACTCCATAAACTTTCAGAAACAAAACAGGGTATTGCTGTCCTCTAGGCCAAAACAAATCTATGGATTGAGTAAGCGGACGTCTTTCTTTGACAATTTGATCAGCCTTTAATTTACTGTTATAGAAAATACCCGATGGTCCTTGGCATATGAATGAATGCTACACAAAATAAAAAAAGCTTGTTACCTAAACACCAATAATTGTTGTAGCATACACTTACTGGAATGGCAATTAACTTACCATTCTATATTGTAGCTCCAATGTTATCAAGTAAGAATCTTCACTTTCAGCATATCTCTCAAACTGGTTGGCATATCTTTCAAACAATGAAGTACCCAGGCCACACTCTTTGGCTGGAGGATATTTTATGACTGGTTGTAGCTGCTTGTGATCTCCTATCAGCACTACATGTTCACATAAACTGCTTGCAGCTATTGTCTCAGGCTCAGTGGCCATACCAGATTCATCTATTATACACTGAGCTAGTATGTCTTTGGAATTCAACAATCGCCGACTGCATGTTTCATTACAAGTGCAAAGAATAACATCATAATTATTCTGAATTTCACTTTTCTCTGAAGAAGTTATCATATCTTTATAACTAGACAAAATAAAAAATATCATATATTATTAATAATGAATAACAATAATTTTGTATCAGTTTACCAAAGTAATTTGCACTTTTAACATGTTGTAGTATTTATTCCATTTTATAAGCATTAGATGTATGTATGTTACATTAATTTACGGAAGTTCATGATTACATACATGTAGATCTAATAACATAGCAGACCTTGGGTCAAGTACAAAACCTCAATTACAATACGCTCCTTTTGTAAAAGTAGACTCGATTAAAAATGCCATGTTGATATAATTTCAATTAAAATACTATTTTTGATATGTTTTTGTATGCAAAAAACATGGCTTGTTCTAAAGAAAACAGCAGTTCAACTGTCATACAGTAGAAGTAATAACGTATTTGTCCCCAGGATTTTCTACAAATTAGTCTAAGTGAGCTAACAGCTTACAAGCACTGCACTATAGTGCATGGCTTTTGAAGCAATTCTTACAATAAATTCAATTTTGATGATATACAACATCAGAGCATGTGTATGTATCATAAAAATGTGACCATAATTGACAAAAGGTACCTTATGGCGGATTTTTAAATTCATGATTTTAATGAAAAATATTAACCTGTGAGTGCTCTGTCTGACCACCATTGTTTCTAAAAGTTACATGGTAACTTTTTGCATCCTCTGGAGTAAATTGATGATAAATGGAGGTCAGGAAGTTGGATTTTGTAGGGTATAAAGTATAAAGACCAATTTTCCTATCCGCCATAAGGTACCTCAGTTTTGTCAATTATGGTCACAAATTATAAAATTAGGAATTCTCACCTAGCTGTTTTTGACAAAATTTGGCCCGAAACTGTCTACTATAGTATATAGTCTTGGGCCAGATTTTTGAGCAACTTAAAAAATACATATTAGTAACGTGGTAGCGTTACTAAGTAGGATTCACAGTCGTATATCTACGGATTCACCCCCAAACAAAATGGCTGCCACTACTTTGCAGCCTTGCTAATTGCTATACTGGGAAAAACGAGCTCCTATGCTTACCAGACTTTATAGAGGACCTCATCTTGACCAGAGGACTCCATTGGTACCACTAGCGTGGCTCTAAACCTAGTCTAAGAGGAAATTCAAAAATCGGCGAACCGGCCGTTTTGATCAGCCACCTTTTTTTCATCATCATCGTCATCAAGTCCTGGAAATTCAGTTGGCGAGCTGTATCTCGATCTTGACTGGTGCTAGAATTATAATTCTTACACCAGTCTACTCCAAAAGTCTATGCGCGGATCCATGTCCCCTAAAATCATTCTCCAAGATAAGAAAAAGTGACGTTATGACTGCTGTATCATGCCAGCTTACCTCCTGTCGCCATTTTGTTAATTATAGAGCATGTGCTCCAAAATTTGGGCGTGGTCGCGCATGCTCAGATCTCAGAACTGGGAAAAGCAATCAATTTTTTAATCTAGGTAGGCTAGCTGTGCTTGGGATCAATTGCATTACTTAGTGGAGGTTTCCAGCTAAAAGAATGTATTAATCTTACATATTATTCTTTTACCAAGTGTGCAATGAATTATTTTATTTTAAAAAACAATTAAAGTTATAATAATGCAATGATTATGACTTTGACATCAGGAAGAACAGGAATATATAGCTACAGAATTGCAGGGAAGTCTGGGAAGATGGAGTTTCTTGAACAAGAACTCATGTCAAGACTATAGTATTAATTTCACTTGTCATCAGTATAGTAGATATTCCTTCAGCATATCTATTAATGCTGTGACTGCTGTCTCTCATAGTAAATGCTGTAAAGTCATAACAATGATAATAATAATAAAGAAAATTACTGTTTGCATAAAATCAACAAGTATCACAATTGCAACTAAAAACATTATAAATATTATTTAAAAATTAACAAAAACAAGAACATAAAAAATTAAAAAAAAACAAGATTGAGTAGGATTCGGAACGACCAACGAAAATACGAAATGAAAATCCTAATCTCGTGACGCAAATTCTACTCTACATTGCAAGGTGATTCATAAGTTTTACATAAGAACATTAAAAGTACAATGTAAAGTAGAATTTGCCTTACGAGAGTAGGATTTCCATTTCGTATTTTCGTTGGTCGTTCGGAATCCTACTCAATCTTGTTTTTTTTAATTTTTTATGTTCTTAAAATTTAATTTTGATTGGAATTGGCTCAAACTTGATACACAAAATCAAAACATGTACCGTACTTCCTTGAATAAGGGCCCTATTCAAATAAGTGCCTACCATAGATATGTGTATTTGAGCCAGTATTATGTGCCCTAATTTTAGAGAGGTTCAAATAGCCTATTTTTTCCAGGAATATAGAGTTGTGGGTTCAAGCCCAGATTTGGTTTTTTATTTTATTTTTTGTGATTTTTGCCTCTGATAAGCAATAAACACCTAAGCCCTTATTCAAGGAAATACGGTACATATGCATCAAATACAATAATAACAATGGAGAATTCTTTCCTAGCCATTTTTGACAAAGTACTGTGGATAAGGGTTTTTTATAAAGCTTGCTAAACAGCACGCTTCATGAGTTGGCAAGAAGCTGAGTACTATACTGGGAAATTCTCATAGCCACACTTTCATCTACATGTATAGTACATGTACATATGATCATGTAATGTGAAGTGGCTATTGAGGTAAATTGAGAGCATTTTCCCTGCATTGATTCAGTATACACTTCAACAACTTAATTTTGATAAAATTCTAATTACATTTTGTTAAGGCTTAAGCCTCAATTACAATTATAATTTTAATTGTCCCGGGGTCTAAATTATCTAGTATGTCACTAAAGACTTACTTCTTTCTTTCAGTTGATGATGGAATGATACTTTGACTTAGAAGTTTTTGTAGTTTTGTTTCAGTAGTTCTTATTTCAGGGAAATTTTGCCTTATTATTTTGTGTAGAGATTCATTACGAAATTCTTCCAAGACAAGACCACCATCATTATCATCTTTTTCTGCTCTTTTTTGTGTCAGATCAAAAACAGGATCTGAGTAGTCTATACGCTCATGAGTACGTCCATAGATACGAAGAATTTTTAATCTTTTGCTTCCCAATTTCTCATTCAATAAATGCAGGTTTTCTATAAAATACCGAAGTTAAACTGCACTTTTCCATAAATTACTTACTATGAACCACATCTACTGATTTGTTAGAGGGACCACAATACAGTACTGACTTAAAGGAAGATGTTGGATCTTCTTCAAATATTTCTTTATTAGTTAATGAAAAAATGTAAGCTAAATGTGCCCCAGTCTCACTCTTTCCTGTACCTATAGCAAGTAAGTATAATAATAATTAATACTAATCATTACAGTGTTTTGAAGTTTTAGTTTAGCTACTTTATTCAAAGCTCATGCGATATGTGAAATTATAAATTATCATTATCAGCATAACTGAGGAGCAACACTTTAGTGATTTTCAATTGTCACAAATTAGTACTGATTTAATCACAAAATTAAACCTCTATTCATTTAGATCTAAATGCAATCATTATTTAGGGTACTGCCAATTCCAAAAAATTATTTCCATAAAAAATATCTTATAAATTACAAAAGTAAAGTAAAGCGGTATCATCAATAATTCAAAAATAGATATGTATTTTGGAACTACTTTTTATAAATGGCAGACAGTAGACAAGCATGATTTAAAATGATTCAAACTTCAACATGGTCATAATTATAGTTCTCATTACCTGGAGGTCCTTGGATCAACTGAAAACTGTTTGTCAGTGCTCTCTTAATTGAATCTTGCTGTATAGGATTTAATTCAATGCCACCCTCTCCTTTCCATAGTTGCTTTGCTAGTGGATTATCATTGAATACTTTTAGTGAGATCTTAGATTGCTCTGAATTGTGAATACATGCATAAAAAACAAACTATAACTGTTTTAAATTTACTTTTCACAACAGTGAATTTATTAAAATCTATTGATCTTGTGTCGGAAATTGCAATAGTTTTGGAAAGGCTAGACCAGTTGTCATCAACTCTCAATGCTTCCTTTAATCTTCCATATACTCGGCTAAAAGAATTATGATATGAAAATAATAATTAAAAATACCAATTGTTCCATTGCTTACTGAAAAGAATCTGGCATTGGTATTATTTGTATCTCACAATTTTGGTTTCCTTTTTTCAATTCTTGATACATATTCTCTGTGACTCTACATGAGTGATCACCTTCAGCACACATTCTTATTATAACGTCTTCATCCTTTTTCTTAGTTTTGTTATTTTCATTTCGCTTCACTTTGGTTACAACAAAGTGATAGACAGCATTGAGACTATCACTAATCTCATATCGAACACATAGAAAGTCACCAGATTTGATACTAATGAAATCCAATGAGTCTTGATTCCTGGGAGGTATGACAAGGGAAACTTCATTTGGCAAATAGTAAGGATCATCAACACAATTATCAACTCGAGTAAATTTGTTCCATTTTAAAGGAGCGAGTCTGATGAATATGAGATTCTTTGTTTTGACACTTTCATTAGCAGACTCAGCAATTAACACTTTACTCCAAAGCTCTACATACTGTTCTATTGAGTGGTATGCTGTATCACGTGATGCTTTTTGTAGCTGTACATCAGAGAAGCAGAGAGAAGGATTCTTGTTATGTTGAAGGCACACACGAACTGTTGGTGCTATCTCCATTAATTGAATAGCTGGTGTTGGGAGACACTCTTTAAGAGACTTTCCTAGCCAAACTGTCATTATATCATTAGCTGTAAAAGGTCGTTGAATTTCATACGCTATTGCAACACTCTCTTCATCACTTCTTGACTGGGGTTTGTCTTTACTGGCTTCTTGTTGCAATTGGAGAATTAAACTTTCTACTTTTTTAAAATTGTCTTTATTTTGACACTTCAGATACTGGTGTGTTACAAGCCAGTGTTCTGAACTCAAAGTAATATCTT